CTATCATGAAAAGGAGAATCAGGCAACAATGACCACAGACTGTTAAGCAGCTGTCTTGTATCAGGCGAGATTGGGTAAAAATTCCACCCGCAAACCGTCACCGATTAGTATCCTCAATAAAAGAAAAGGTGATGTGACAGTGGTAAACATCCCTCTGTCCCATTTTCTGATGTTGCAGCCATCAAAATCGGTTTATATTTACAAAATAGACTGTCTATCTATCTATCTATCTATCTATCTATCTATCTATCTATCTATCTATCTATCTATCTATCTATCTATCTATCTATCTATCTATCTATCTATCTATCTATCTATCTATCTATCTATCTATCTATTTCCCTTTCTGTTTGTCTGTCCACCCTTTTCTGTCTGTCTGTCTATATCTGTCTGTCTGTCTATCGATCTATTTTCCCTATCTGTCTGTCTGTCTATCTATTTTCAATTTCTGTCTGTCTTTCTATCTCTATCTCTATCTTCTGTCTGTCTATATCTATCTATCTATCTATCTATCTATCTATCTATCTATCTATCTATCTATCTATCTATCTATCTATCTATCTATCTATCTATCTATCTATCTATCTATCTATCTATCTATCTATCTATCTATCTGTCTGTCTGTCTGTCTGTCTGTCTGTCTGTCTGTCTGTCTGTCTGTCTGTCTGTCTGTCTGTCTGTCTCTCTGTCTGTCTGTCTGTCTGTCTGTCTATCTGTCTATGTGTCTATTTACCAGGGCTACTATTTCTCTCTCTCTCTCTCTCTCTCTCTCTCTCTCTCTCTCTCTCTCTCTCTCTCTCTCTCTCTCTCTCTCTCTCTCTCTCTCTCTCTCTCTCTCTCTCTCTCTCTCTCTCTCTCTCTCTCTCTCTCTCTTCTCTATCTCTCTCTCTCTGACATCCCCCTTCGCTCTTTCCTCTCCTCCTGCTCTTTTCTCCTCCTCTGTTCTTGGCTCTCTGCCCGCTCCACTGCAGTTCCTCCTTCGGGAGCAGCAGGCAAAGTCACTGGCTCTAGGAACAGACCTTTCAAATTCATAAAATTCATAGGATTTTTCACAAATGGGTGAACACAATTTTCTACCAATTTCCTCATTATGCAAATATGCAAAATATCGCATTTAGGCCAATTATGGTCCCACACTGTTCCAAATCCAGCAGTTCAAGCCATAATTGCAGAAACTATCAAATAATTACGCCCGCTAATTGGGAATATTTGTGACAGATAAAACAAATTCTCGCGCAAATTACATTTCATTCAAGGAACCACTGTGCGCCGCTGCATTTTTATCGAAGTCTAATTTATCTTACATAATGAACTGAACTGAGTACTTGTTATCGAATTTGAACAATTCATATGTCCCTAATGTGGAATGATGAAATAAATTAGAGAGAAATTTATACAATATTTTCCTGATCTAGGCCTACTTCGAGAGGCTCCCGCCGTTCAGAGGAAATCTTTCATTGCGATTACATTATGTGTCATGAATCGCAGCTCTAACTGTCGTGAAATGTGATGGAAGCTGGTGGGATGTGTTTCCCTCTTTAGAGAGGCTCATCACAGCTCCCACAGCAGAGGCCGTGCCCAAAACACACGCACTGGGAAATGCCAGTAAAACTGCAGGATGCCCATTGATATCAGGAGGACTAAACCGAAGACAAAATCTCATTATTTTTATTATTGTGGTAGCACTTTATTTTACAGTCATGTTCCCCATACATACTATGTACTTATTATAGTAATTGCAACAACTGGGTCATAACTTGGTACTTAACCCTGAATGTATATTACCAGTATAGTACACTACTGCAACTATTATTATGGGAAAAAAAAACACATTGCTTTTTCTCCTGAAGTGCACAAATAATGTTTTTGGCATATTTTTTTTTACATCATGATAGTGGAAGATGCATAAACAGTGCACATAAATATTTTTTGTCTACTAAATATTAATATATTATGTCATTATATAAGAATAAGAGCAATATTATTATTGTTATAAAACATAGCCTATTTTCTTGAAGTGGAGTAAACAAACTAAATTTTAGCATATTTATATTTTTATGTCCTGATAGTGGTTCATTCAACATATTGCATATTCATTTTTTACAAAAATATTCATATAGTATGTATTTCATAGAAGAATAAGAATATTGTCATTATTATTATTATTAAACACATTGCCTATTCTCCTGAAGTGCAGCAAAAAGTTTATATTTTTACATTATGATAATGGACGATGTGTAACACATTGCATAATAATATATATATTTTTTTTTTTTACAAAAAAATATATATTATGTCAATCAAATAAGAATAAAATTATTATTATTAAACATTTGGCCTGTTTAGGCTGCAAATAATATTCATATATTATGTCATACATATAAGAATAAGATTTTTATTATTAATAAACACATATTCTCCTGAAGTGCTAGATAGGGATAGTGTTACATCATGATAGTGGTTGATTATATATTCATTTTTTAAACAAATATTCATATAGTATGTCATTCATATGAGAATAATAATATTATCATTATTAGAATAATAATTATTATTATTATTATTAAACACATAGCCTATTCTCCTGAAGTGTAGCAAATTGTTTGTTAAAAATGTATATTTTTACTATATGAATTTGTGTGTGAAAAATATGAATATGCACTATTATGTTAATTAACCCAATAGTGCGTATTAATATTTTTTACACATACATTGATATAGTATGTCATTTATATAAGAATATGACTTTCATTAATTATTCAAAACAATAGAGATATTTCTAATAAAAACATTTTTTTTTTTTTTTACAAATATTTCTCTTTTGCCTCACTGTCTTCATGTAACCTAAAGGTCATGAAGGTCGTCTGTGGAAAAGTGTGTTTATCTTGCTCACCTGTTCTAGGTCTATGTGTATGTGATTAGTTTAATCCGTGGAAATGGTCTCATCGCTGTAAACAAGCCGTGCGCGGAATGAGGGCGGCCATCCACGCGTGGCAGCGCTGCCTATTTGTCAAAAAATCTTCCATAAACAAATGGTGGGCCGGGCGGGATAGGCGACGTCTCCATTTTAAACAGGGGCTTTAACTCGGAGGGCCCGTGAAACACCATCATTCATAGGTGACTGTTTAACTCCATAAATCACATTGATGAGGTTTGGGAACATCCTTTCACACAGAATCTCTTCATTTGAAAATGGTGCGTTGAATTTGCCATGAGTGAAAGTCTGTATTCATGTGTGCAATTAAGAAAGGGGTTTGTTTTTGTCATTTTTACAAGGGAACGCTTTGAGATGGGGAGGTCCTCAGATATGTCTAATGTTTAATTCAATGCCATGGCCGCTAAGTATTTTTTAATTGACAAATTAGCGAGTTCTAATATACTGGAATTTAATCCTAATTAGTTAAGCGGCTGCTAAAGGTTTGAACATTGCACCGTTTATTAAGAGGTCAATTTATTATTTGTTAAGAAGGCTTTATGAAATGAAAGGGCTATTTTTCAAATCGCTCCGCCCTTTAACCGTGTCGTGCTGTTTGCTGTAGTCATTATGAATTCACTTTGATTTCAATTCCACAATAATATGGTCACTAATGGCTCTGATATTGACGCTAATTGTAAGAGTCAATATTGAAGCACAGCGGGAAGCCTCAGTCGGGTCGGGTCTGTGCCTGCAGTCCTACACACACTGCTGACTTCTTTCTTTATTTGCATTTATTTCACCTCATTTTCAAATTCCTGTGAATTTAGACAATTAAAATCTACATATTTTTGGGGTGGAGAAAAAACAACAGACAATTTTAATCCAAGTGCAGCCAATTAACTCAACAAATAATGCATTTATAATGCTAAATTAATGTGTTTACAAAGATTTATCAGATCTTACTGGCTTTTTGTTTTTGTTTGGAATTGCATCGTTTTTAATAGTAAGTATGAAACGCATAATCTTGCTATACATGGACTATACATGGACTCCAAAAGTATAGGTAAAACCTAAAATGCTTTTTGTATTGTAAACTGACTTTGAAGTTTGTAGTAAGGTGCTATATAAAATAAACATTATCATTATTATTATTAGGGGCCAAACACTGAAAGTGTGTATGCATCTCTTGATATCATTGGCGTTCTTCTTCTTCTTATTCCGTATGGAAGTCTATGTTGGCCCATAGTTTGCGGGAAAGTTATGAAATTTGGCCCACTGATAGAGGACAATCTGATTAGCTGAAAGTGATAAACCGTTCATATTTTTAATTACTCTATATTTGATTATTCAGCCATTTTGCCTAAAATCATCATTAAATATCTTTAATTGCTCATTGTTGGTCTGAAATGTCTTGTCTTCTTGCGCTTGACCCCGATAATTGCTGCTTGCGGCTATATTTGTTATTATTATTATTATTATTATTAAACCTTTTTAAATTCCACAAAGGTAATTTTTATTTATTTTTGTTTTATTTTTTATTGTATATTTACGCTAACACTTTACAAGAAGGTCTTATTTGTTAGCATTAGTTAAAGTTTTAACTAAAATGAACTATAACAATGAGCAATACACATTTTCCTCAATCTTTGTTAATGTTAGTTTATAAAAAATATTGTCATTCATTGTTTGTTCATGTTAGTTCACAGTGCATTGTCTAATGTTAACAAATACAACTTTTTATTTTAATAATGCCTAAATGTTGAAATGTTAACAAACTAAGATTAATAAATGCTGTAGAAGTGTTGTTCATTGTTAGTTCATGTTAACTAAAATAGTTACTGTATCTAATGTTAACAAATGAAACCTTATTGTAAAGTGTTACCATATTTATTTATTTGTAAAATTCGAAAATCTCCAAAGAACCATAACAAATTTTAAGTGTGTTTTATAGCCTAATGAAAAATAGCGGAAGAACCTTTTTTTAAGAGTATGTTTAAAGCAAAACCATGTTAAACAGTGCATATGTCTGGTCATATTTTGTGTTTACTGGTCTCTCTCTCTCTCTGTCACAAACACATTTTAGGGCACCAGTCCCCGGTTCCCCGTCCCCCACCCGTACACGACGTCCTTCGGCTCTTGCAGGCGCATCATGTGCCGCCGGAGCGGACAGATGAAGAAGAGGATATTAAGTGACTCTATCTAACATCCAGGACACAATGGCGGTGATTGATGGAGGACAAAGTAGGAACAGCAGGACGGAGGATGGGGAGGGGGGTGTCCGCTGGGGGTCTCTGTCGAGAGCCGTGTTTACTCACTGATGCTCTCCACAAGACAGCCATTGACACTCGGATGGATGAGTCCCGCGGAGCCAGAGGTTACCGGGGCTGGAATATAGAGCTCCTCCACGACACGCTCCCTTCACCTAATCTTCCGGCAAAATATTTATCATTATCAATTGCGGCCTGCTCTCTGACATTAGAATAGCACGTATGGATAAACCTCGGGAGGATTATCGATCCGCCCGACAGCAAGGCTCACACAGGCGGCCGTGGAAGACTTGGGGTCATACGGGACAATAAGAATAAAATCCCGGTGTATCCAGCACTCCGCTCGAGTTTATTAAGTAAAACAATGAGCCAAATCACACCTCCGTGACATACGTACACAGCCCACAAACGCTTCTGGAGCAACCCAGCGCTGCACAGTTACTTTCCTACACACTGATTTGATTTACAATCAACAATTTTGGAATAATTATAATTTTTTTAATGCTTTTGAAAGAAGTATTTTAAGTTAACTTGCTGCATTTATTTGATCAAAAAACAATAATATTTTAAAATACTTTTAAACATCTGTTTTCTAGTTGTATAAATTTAAAATTTACTGGTAATTTATTCTAACTGATCAAAGCTGAATCTTCAGCATCATTCCTCCAGTCTTCAGTGTCACATGATCCTTCAGAAATCATTCTAATATCTGATGCTCAACAAATATTTCTGATTATTATCAGTGTTAAAAGCAGTTGTGCTGCTTCATGTTTGTGGAAACTGATACAAAACCATTCAAAAGCAATATATATATATATATAACAAAAACAATGTGTTAAATTGATCAAAAGTTACAGTAAAGACATTATTAATGTTATAAAAGATTTATATTTACAAAAAAATTGTTTGTACTTTTGATTCATCAAATAATCCCAAAGGCCAGGACATTCAATGTTCTCTACATTGATACAGTAATAATAATAAAAATTATATTATAATTGAGCACAAATAATAATTGATAGCTGAGCAGCAAATCAGTAATGACTGCTTAAAATTTAGCTCTGCATCACAGGAAAAAAAAATTATTATAAAATATATTCAAATAGAAAACAGTTCTTGTGTAATAATATTCCTATATTAAACTGTAATAAGTCTTCTTCTAATTTCAATTATTCCAAAATGTTTGTATATCATCATCTCATTAGTCTTCTATACTTCTACCTGAACTGATTGTGTCAATTCAATTCAAATTTATTTGTATAGCGCTTTTCACAATACATATTGTTTCAAATCAGCTTTACAAAAAGTGCATTACAGAAATATACATAGAAATGTTAATCACGTATTAATTTAGGGCATAACATATCGCCGGCATTGAGTTCACAGGTGTTGGGCCATCTGAAGTCTCCTTGAGAGGTTGTGTCAGATAAGGGGAAACCCCAAAAGCAAAAGAAGGTTAGTGGATGCTGGGTAAAACATTTGAAGAGGATATTTCACATGTTTTCCTCCTGACTGAAACAGATGTAAAACCTAAATGTACATTGTGCACTGTGTATTTTGTCTCCTGTAGACCCGGCCTGGGTGGAATTGAGAAGATGGCAGGTCGATATTAGAAATGTCTGTTATGTATCTGTCATATTTCCAACTTTATTCCTTTTGAAGTGGAGAGAGAAAGAGAGAGAGAGAGCGCTCGGGATGAATGGCAGCAGGTGCCAGCGGCTTCTCGCCTCCCGAGCGCTAATTGACCGACAGCGTTCATACACACATTCTCTCTAATTTCACATTTGCTATTCCAGTGGGGTAACCAGGCACGTCTCAAGGAATACATAGTATTTGCTCTCAACGTGGAGGCCATTGAGGATCTTTAAAAAAAGAGAACGAGATTAGCAACTTTGTTTGATAATAAGGCCTCTAAGATTCAGACTCGTTTTTAGATAAACCACACACACACGCGAAAGTCTTCTTTTTTTTGAGAATTTGTAATAATTGCAACAAAGAAATCTTGTGTTGATGTTTCAATGATAGGAATCTGTCATACTATTGTGGGAACTGAGGAGAATTTTTTTTGTTGCTGTCGTTTGTGCACTTAGATCTTTAGATAATATTTCCATAAATCTAAATATTTCAGAAATCTATAACTGTGCAAATTAGTGTCAAGTTTAAAGAGGTATTATGTAACTCAATTTACTTCAGCACTGGAAAACGTTAGTTTCACTGTAACAAAGGACACCTTTGTAAAAAAGGTAAAATTTACTTACTAGCAATTAACATGGCATGACATAAATTCCCACAGTGAGTACTTTTTTGTTAAATAATCATGAAATTCATGGCAAAAGCCTCTGAGAGAGAGAGAGAGAGAGAGAGAGAGAGAGAGAGAGAGAGAGAGAGAGAGAGAGAGAGAGAGAGAGAGAGAGAGAGAGAGAGAGGAGGTGTTCAGAAACAGATGCACATCACTGCTTTGTTTTATGTGGACTAGTCAGTAAATGAATTAGCCACTATTGGCTTTATGTGATCAAATATACTGTCTGGTATGACAGACATTCTTCATGCTTTTGAACAATGATTTACATTATTAAATGTTTAATTGAATATTAAAGGGGGGGGGGGGGGCTTTGTTGAAGGCAAGTGCAGTTTAGACAGGCACAGGCACACACACACACACACACACACACACTGCTTTTGAAAACTCCAAAGTCATCCAGTTTGCTCTAATCACCACAATTAGTCCTGAATTATCACCGGACTCTGACAGACGTTCCTTGTAACTCTCTTTTATTTCCAGGCAGCGCTAATCAGCCGCTCTCATTACTGACGCTGATTAAACTGCAAATTAGCCAGCAGTGGCCCCGTTCAGCCTCCCCGCGACTCGCTCAATATCAATTAGGCCCAGCAGCTTGTCTGCGGCTCTCTGGGCGCTTCCAAATGCTTGATAGTGCCACTTATTAGTTTGGAAAACTAGGAAAATACCAATAATCAACGAGTCAGAGAAAGAGGGGAGAGGGAAAGAAAGAAAAAGGGCTCTCTTTTTTTAAAGTTTCATTCCAGCTCAGGGGCCAGTTTTAGGAGGCACGGCCGATAATAACGGCTGTCACATCAGACCGGAGCGCGGGTGGCCCCTTATCAGTGTCAGCAGGGAAGAAAAATGTATTAGACAAGGTAATATCTAGGCTTTTTGAAGTCACTTTTAGATATAATGAATCGCATTAAGGCGTGACAAATCTGAAATCCTACATCATTAGGTCGTTCCGGTAGCAGTGAGAATGAATAAGTATTTTTTCTCTCCTTCTAACCTCCTGGAACCGGAGTTAATGACAGTTTATTTTATTTATTTATTTCATTAAAGTCAAATCATCTAATAAGCCCGCAATTATTTTCCTCTGGTCCCTTGTAGAAAGTGTCCAGGCAATAAAAGCAAACATAAAATGGTGGGAATTCAGAAGCCCGATGGTTTAGTTTCTCATTAGGCACGGTAATTTGTGAATGAATGGCGTATAAGCAGGAATCACAGTAAATGATTATTGCAGCAAACAATATCAATGGCGAGCCTACATGGCTCAATCGCAGGCAGCACTTTGGAGCTTTGTGGACATTTTCAGTGCATTGGATTGCAGTTTGATTCTCCATTCCCCTCTGATCAAAGAGTCTGAACACCATTTTGGCGCTTTGCCAGTCGATAATATCTGCTATCTAGACTAAATGTACTAAAAAAGTAACAATGTGCAGTTTCTCAAGAAGCTATTTGACCTTTGACCCGGTGTAACCTATTGCAGATTGATTCTTTCATACTGAATAATAATTTTGACTGAATAAACCTGTTCATTTAGAAGTTAGTTACCATGAATCATTTGATAAATTATGTGTATATTTTCATATAGCAGATAGAATTCAGATATCTCATTTGCATAACAACAATATTATGTGACGACATTATTTTGCAATAAATATCAGTGTCATTTTCATGTTTATGACCACAAAGCTGCATGCTTTAAAACATCTGTTTCGTGATTAAAATGACATTTGATGTTTTTTAAAATATAACAGCTGTAAAACCAAGATATAGGCTAACCACCTCTGATCTGGTTAAAACAATAGCCTATGGGTTTGCATTGATCAATTCCTTAATCCACATTTGATTACACCCTAGAATATAATAGAATAGAATAGAATAGAATAGAATGCAATAGAATATGTATATGTGATTGTGTGGCAGTGCAGATATGTATATAGGCTATATGTGTGGGCTTAAATTAATTGATAAATTAGGCTATACATGATTTATTAATTTATTTATTATGGCAGAAATTGCTGATAATCTCCAGTGGAGACCACTGTTTTGTCCTGATGTGATGGTAGCTCTTTTACTACACCTGACCCTTTTAAGATCAATAACCATAAATGAGTCGATTTAGCGATATGATCATGAATCACGCTCGTCTCAATCTTCACCGGACAGTCCTGTTCGCGTGCAGTCTTTCTAGGTTACCAGGGTGACGGAGGACCGGCATCTCTGCTCGTGGGCTCCGGTGGGGATGACATTCATCATTCCCGGCGCGTTGTCTGCAGTTTGACAACTCCTGACACGTGTGACATATCTCACTTTACCTGCTCCAGTCGAAAGCATTACCTCCGGCAATCGAGGTGTCTATGATGTCCACTCTGCTTCCACTGGCTGTGAGGAGTAGATCACACGGAGACCACAGTCCAGCCCAGGCACATCACTGACCGAAGCAACAGCAAGAATTAAAGTCAAATAATATATACATTCATTTATTATTATTATAGGCTATAGCCTAGCCTATTATTATTTAAGCCTATAACCCACAATTAAGACAGGCCAAAAATGTAATTCATGCCGTAAAACAGATTTTTTTTTGTTTGTTTTTTTGCATAGGCCTATAGGTCAGTTAAATGTTTAATTCAACTAGCTATAGCAACATGATTTAGGCTAGGCTATGTAGGCTAATATGAAAATAACAGATTGCGTAATAATCATTAGCAGGAAAAAAAACGGATTATACCATTTAATACTATGATACCTTTAAATATTTCATGGTACTAACTTCAATAACTGAGATGTTTGCATATAGCCTTCTCCTTTGCCTGTCCCATTGCACAATCAAAAAATCATAATATATCAATTGACACCTCTAAGTCTACTTTTAGTGTAGTATTTTTTTTATCACCTTTTGTATATAAATGTTATTAAATGTAGCCTTCTAAAATTAAATAACGGAACAAATACATGTGCCCTTTTTTCCCTTTTTTTAATCTTTGAACTGCTGTCACATGCGCTGCTTTATCTACGCATGCGCGCACTTTCTGCTGTGTGTTGGTGTGTCACTGTGCTATCAGGCTAATCTCAGCTGCGCGCTTCTCTTATTACTAAGTACTAACATATTTATTCCCGTTTCTTTACGTTTGTACTACTTCAAACAACACGGACCATGGCGGATCCAAGAATACGACAAATAAAAATCAAGACCGGTGTGGTTAAACGGTAAGAAGGCGGAATAATCAGATTTTTTTATGTGCGACGTAAAGGCCGCAGGTTCACCGCGCCACTCTACAGGCGTACGCCGCAGATGAGAGGCCTCTGCGGCATAGGCTTTAAATAGAGCCCGGTGCTCTGACAGGTGTTATAGCATTGTCCAGATGTCAAGTTCAATTCTCCTGTCACTTTAGATACCGTGTAAACTACGAATAATGTGCATTTCATAAGAGTTTGTGTTAGTTATTTGTTAGTTTGTATTTGATTGTTATGAGGCCAATAGACTAATTAGCCTAAGTAAGTTAAGTTAGAATTCAAAATGAGATAACGTTATTGAATAAAGAATTATTGAGGTTGCGTTAATGCCAAGTATAATAGACTTTTCTGTACCTTATCAAGCACGCATGTGTGTTTAGACCATAATTAAAGAAAACTGTCCGTTGTCCTACTTGATATTGCAAACCATCATATTATTTTAATTAATTATCGTAATCATAAACACCTTGATTTGTTGATCAAATTATTTTACAGCATTTTTGTTATATATATATATATATACACACAGACACACACACACATACATATAAATGAATAATATATATAAATTATATTTTTAGATAATATGTTGTACATCTATGAACATATGAAGAGTTCAGATGCAAAAGCCTCTAAGTGCCATTTGAAATTTTCTTCTAGAATGATACATTTTTTATCAAGCTTATATTCAGGTTCAGTAATTTCACTTAAATGACAATTAATAGGTTATCTTCATTGCAATTTAAGTGAAATTACTGAACTTAAACATACAAGCTTGATAAAAATGATCATTCTAGAAGAAAATTTCAAATGGCACTTAGAGGCTTTTGCATCTGAACTCTTCATATTTTCATGTTAAATTAAAGAAATTATGTAAAAAAATAAAATAAAAATACATGCTAAATGCACACACACATCAGATTTATACACCATCTGAATATATGGTTTGTTAGGACAATATTTGGCAGATGGTGCAAAAAAAATCGAAACATTGAGAAAAATGCCTTGAAAGTTGTCGATTTATGTTTGCGATTGTGCTGCATTCACTCACAAAATAAATGTTATATATATATATATATATATATATATATATATATATATATATATATATATGTACATAGGACATTTACAAAATATCTTCATGGAACATGATCTTTGGCATAAAAGGAAAATCGATAATTTTGACCAATAATGTATTGTTGGCTGTTGCCATGGGATGTGTGACTGGTATTGTGATCCAGGGTTTTATATATATATATACGTTTTTATTATATTTTTGAAGTGAACATGCAAAGTACAATCTTTATAACATCAGATATGACATATGATCACATTGACATGGCTTATTTATGCAGTCCTCAGTAAGATCGAAGAGTCTAACATTCACTTAACGAACGTTAGACTCGTATTAAAGTTGGTCATTTGTGTTCAGCGAGTGTCTCTGTTCTTGCCTCATCCTCTCTTCATCCCCTCCCTTTCTCTGCTCTTCCCTGCAATCCCCACCTGACTGCTGTTTGCATTGATTGACCAGATGAGGGCCTGATTGAGATGGGCCTGTTTGATAGGGCTGGTAATGGAAGTGTGCGAATGATTCTCAGTGGGATTGAGAAAGTGAGAGGGTTAGGAAACAACTCGCACACCATGCCAACACAGGAGACAACATCGTAATGAGCCGCGCCGCGATAAGAACCGAATGTTTGGCCTGTCAAACTCTGCTGATGTTCACATGAGGGACCAATCACGTCTTGCTGTCTGAGTTCATTTATGCTGAATTTGCTTATTGCATCGGCACCGTTGGTGTCAATTGATGGTTTTATGATGGAACATTCCCGCTGTTAGGCCCAGCGATGGCAGACACATCGTTCGTGTCTCCGAGACATGTTTCTTCTGGATTTCCCATCTGTTTTTGGCTCTCGGTGTGGACGGTCCAGCCTTCGTATCGATTAGAGCGGTGCGAGTTGCTTTGTTTTCTTTCAGCTGGGTCTTTAGGTCCTATAGATTTCTCTCCGATTTCTCTCCCCATGCGAGCGCAGGCCTCTGTGGTTCACTCAGACCGGGGCTCCAGCTCCAGGTCAGATAATTGATTTTGTCCACCTTTGAACGCTGTATTGCTGAATTGCATTTCTTCATTTGTCAGAGCTGTGAGGTGTGGGCTTCTTGATGGTCTCCTGGTTTACTCATTTCAAGTCAGTTTGTATGTTTGCTCTGAGCTTGGCCTCTATGTAACTTGTTTTTCAATAAACACTGATGTATATATGGAAAGCGTTATTGCTGATTCGGTCAATATAGGACATGTATAGAATATCAGTTTTGATGTTGAAATACATTGTCCTGTCCGTTTGTGTGTAAATTCAGAATATGGAGCATTTACTTTGTTTTAGTGACAGACTTCTGACAAAATTGCAGAATTTCAAAACTCGAAACTCAAAACTTGCAACGCCAAGGTCTTGAGTTCGATTTTCGAGGAATGCTAGAACTGATCAAATGCTTTTTGAATGAAATTTTATAGTTTGAGTGGGAAATTTGCCTTAAATGAAAACTGCATTTACTAGGTCTGTCAAACGATTAATCGTCATTAATCGCATCCAAAATAAAAGTTTGCGTTTACATAATATATGTGGGTGCACTGTGTATAATTATTTTGTATATATAAATACACACACATGCATGTATATTTAAGAAAAAATATTATTTATATATAAAATATTTATATATAATATAAATTATATAATTATATATATTTACAGTATATACATGAAAATATTTCTTAAATGTATACAAGCATGTGTGTGTATTTATATATATATATATATATATATAATTTTACTCAGTGCACCCACATATATTATGTAAACACAAACTTTTATTTTGGATGCATGTGATTAATCGTTTGACAGCCCTAGCATTTACTATTGACAAGGCTCTCATAAGATTTTAGGAATGGGGCAACATTAAAAATCTCAAAATGGTCTGGACAATATATAAACAGGCCAGAGGACACCGCTCATGATGATCTCTGATTCATAACGTAATGTTTAACCACCTGTATTATTTAGGGCTGGGTATCAATACAGATATCCCTATTTGATTCGGATTCACAAGATCTCAATTCGATTCTCGATCTGATTTTGATTAGAGATAACTTTATCATGTCTCGTTACGTCTGTATGATCTCAGTAAGCCTTTGTGAGGGTTTACGCATGTGCAGTAAGGTGAGTTTTTCGTTTTCCGACGTTTCAGTGTGGATGAGAAACTTTTGGAAAACGCCAGTGTTGAGGGAGAGCGGTTTGAAACGAAATGCTGGATTAATGTAGATATAGCCTTAGGTGACGTGCCAGTGCTTTAAGACCTTGTGCTGCCTGTAGTACACGTACACGTGGATGCTTGTAATGTCAGTTAATTACAACCTCCAGGTCAAGCCCCTCTCAATTGGCGACATCCCACGTTTTCAAAAGCCTCAAGAGGGTTTCTGAAATACCCTATGTAGTGGTCAGAATTTCATGCCAAATGTTGCTAGCACAGTAGGGTTCTCTGCTCAGCCGCATTCTTAAAGGAGTAGTTCACTTTAAAAAAAAAAAAAAAAAAAAAAAAACTTTTGTTGATAATTTACTCACCCCCATGTCATCCAAGATGTCCATGTCTTTCTTCAGTCGAAAAGAAATTAAGGTTTTTGATGAAAACATTCCAGGATTTTTCTCCATATAATGGACTTCAATGGGCACCAAACGGTTCGAGGTCCAAAAGACAGTTTCAGTGCAAACTGTTCAACGGGCTTTAAACGATTCCAGACGATGAATACGGGTCTTATCAAACGAAACGATCACTCATTAAAAAAAATAAAATAATAAAGTTTAAGTTTTATAAGCTCAAATGCTCGCCTTGCTCTGTTCTGTGATACACGGTCGTGACAATCCTGTTCGAACTCGTTCATCAAAATGAACAAATCTTTTTTTCTGAGTCAGTTCGTTCATTTCGTTTGTTGAATGAACCAAATGACTTCAGCAAATTATCAGAGCAAAAGTAAATTTATCAGTAAATTTTCATCAAAAGTTTTTTTTAAAAGCGAACCACTCCTTTAAGCATTTAGCGCAAATTTTTTGTTTTTTACAAAACATCCACTTTTCACCATTTTACTACCAATATATTCATTCGATGAAGAAATGAGCTATTTCTACAGAATTTTCTCTTCATCTTGGTCTTGACACCTGGACGGCGTTGGTCTGAACAAACTGCCAGACGATTTTGCATCTCGCCGTCTTCTCCGTCTTCCACCATCCCTTTCTACCCTTCACTTGCCATTTTCTTTTTTCCTTTCTTCTTCTTCTTCTTCTTTTTGGTGATGTATTCCAGTCTGCGTTTTCTGGCCTAGCTCAGCGGATGCACTTAATAAAATGACAGACGTAATTTGCTTTTGTCACTGGGTCTCGCCGCCGGCCCGCCGCCTCAAAAATACAGTATTAGAGGGAAGAGAATGTGTGTGTCGAGTCTAATTCTTTTCTCTATTTTCCAGAGAGATGCTTTTTCCATTAAGCTGAAGGAAGCAGCCCTGGCAGCCCCATTTACAGCTGCCCAGCTCCGCCCCTGCTATAAGCAGCTCGCACATCACCCTGCAGATACAAGAAATTAACATCAGCATGACACTTTTTCATTAGCCTGTCCCTCACTTTTATTAGAATTATGCTACACCCCGATCTTTCCACCCCTCCGGCTTCCTCGCTGGTTGCACCCCCATTCCTTTTCCCGTGGTCTAATTTTTTGTGGACGTGTCAGAGAAAGCCTTGCCTTGAGCATATGTGGAGAATCACACCAGAACGTTGTGATTGAAGCCTGTTAAAACTGGCGTAATTGACGTAAAATATGACACATTGTCGCAAGCGGAGGCGACTCTTTTGGCACGCGGCTCGGGCTGGCAGTATGTTTTATTAATGGAGAAGCATCTCGTGCTCTCTCTCTCTTTTTCTTGCTGTCTAACACACACACACATACACAGCTGATTTTATGAAAAATGAATTCCGCAACGCCATGTCGTCCCGACAAGCGAGCAGGCCGCAGACGGAAAGCAGCTATTAGCTAGAATCATTATCAATAGTGATATTTTCAAACTCCATTACAGCAATCAGGCCGTGAATTTATTCAGTGCGTTTAGTTCATTTGGCCATAATTGATAAATAATCAAAATTTATCAATGTACTCGCACTGCGTTTTCACTAACAATCAAGCAAAAGTGGCCCATTTGCCACCTGACTTAGTCCAAATTAGGGACTAAATTGATGATCAATTAATCCTAGTAGGGGCAGTACAGTGTTTTTGCGAGTGTGTGCGAGCGAGAGGGAGACAGATGCAGTTAAAAGACAGATTAGCGTAGCGATCAGGGTGTACCTGGTGCAGTTTAGCACTGTGGCTAACAAGCATATCTGAGACTGACAGTAGATAATCATTAAGGAAGAGAGAATTGGGAGTTAGGAAATGCTGGAAGTAGAGACTGTTTACAGTAGGATGTGCTTTTCATGGGGTTAAATTATGCTGGGATTCAGAAGTTTGTTAATGATGTGTGTTTTACCAGTTTATGTTTTAACGTTAACAGTGCTAACTAGTGATTTATATAGACTTGAGGATGACTGAAATCTTGTATTGTGCTATGAGGTGTTTTATCTATTAAAACTACTGTATTAAAAATACAGTAAAAACAAAAATATTGTGAAATATTATTACAAATTAAAATAACAATTTCTATTTGAATATATTTTTAAATGCACTTTATTCCTGTGATAAAGTCTTCAGTGTCATATGATCCTTCAGAAATCATTCTAATATGAATTTAATATATTCTTGCTGATTAAAAATATTAATTTCTTTAAAAAATTTTAGGACCCCAAATGTTTGAACAGTAGTGTTTTTGTTCAATTTCAACACAATTGTCTACATCTCAGTTGTCATCTTTGTTGTATTATGTATATTTGGACCTAATATACCTGAATTTTTTTTTCATATTTGTGTAAAGTCACAAATGCAACTATAAAAAGAGATTAGTAAACTTCAGGGGTCTCATTTATAAAACTGTGCGTAGGATGATTCTTACTAAAAGTGCACGTGCGCCCTTTGGCGTACGCCAAAAAATATTTAGATTTATAAAACCGTTTGTACGCCAGAACCTGCGCAGAATTCACCTTATAAATCCCAGTCAGCCGAAGATTGTGCGCACATGCGTCTCCTCCCCAAAATATACATACTTAATATGCATATCCTCATCTGCATATCATTTGTGTATGATTATTCATCCACGTGATACCATGTTAAGGCACAAGACGTTAGGAAAATGTGAAATACAGATGTGCTGTGTCACAATAAATTATTATTATTATTTTTTAGTAGCCTATATCCTTGCCTTGTTTTTGAATGAATAAATCAAAGAAAGATTTTCTCAATCTTTTCCACTGCCCAAATAGTATTTTTAATTAATTTATATTTTTAATGGAAACAGACAGACATGGTTGTGCATTGCATGGAACTATTTTCTCAGACAATCTGCTTATCATGAAAGTGTTCAAAAGCATTGCATCCACAGCAAATATATAATTCTATTTATTTAATATATATATATATATATATATATATATATATATATATGTGTAACTTCTCAGTAATGATTTAATGTAGTTTAAGTGTTTAACTCCATTAATGAGAATGGCATATTTAATCTAAATGTTTATATCAGAAGTAAAACATTGTTTAAATCATTCTTTCATTTATTTAAACTGTTATTGAGAACATGCACTGTATTTATTAGGACTCATGAAGATTTACGGTTTTACTTCATCTGCCGTTAGATTATCGGCTATATGTGCGTCAGTTTCACTAAACAGCCCAACGCGCTCGCTAGCGCGGACATTTAAGAAGGGATGGATATTGGCTTCAAGTGATAGGCTTGGTGAGTGAAATTATATTTGTAGGCTATTATCTTTCTTTAGCCCATAGGCTGTAATTTGCTTTAGATTTTCGGTCTAAAAGTGACCAAAAAGACATTTAACTCCAGCTCACCATCGGTGTCGCCAATTCCCTTTGTCTCCAGAATGTGCGTACGCACGACTCAAAGTTTGCTTAAAGGTGCGCACATTCTCCCGTCAAGTTTGTTTTTTATAGATCACAACCTTTGCGTGGAAACTGGCCTTATGTACGTTTCCAGCCCCGTTTTGTGCGTACGCACGCTTTATAAATGAGACCCCTGGGCATTAGAAGTTGGTTGTCTGGTTTTGAGCCCATGTAAGTGGCTTATTTGAATTTTGGGTGATTGCAAGTTCGCTATAGTTTGACTTTGTGGCGGTAAATTCCTGACCGCGTCGGTTGTCTCACCACTTGCTATCCATTCTCATTCTTGCGTGCTCTCTCTCCCCCTCCTTCTCTCTCTCTTTTTCTCTCAGTTTGGCCAAAGAGGAGGTTTTGTACATAAAGGAGGCAAAGCAGCAGGAAGAGAAGATTGAGCGTCTCAAGGCGGAGGCAGGAGACGAGTATGTAATCAAGAAACAGGTAAGAAGAATGAACAAAACATAACCTGATGAGACTCACTCATTCGGAGGACGATAAAAGTACTAGGTTTGGGGGACCAAAATGTTTATATTTATATTCAATCTTTTATAAAACTCCAGTCAGAGACATAAATATTTATTTTTCATTGTGCTTCATTGTGCATCATATGAGTTCATTGTGCCTCATATGAGATTTGTTGGTCACTTTTTTTTTCCCTTTCTTTGGTGGCTTAATGTGAGAAATATTCCATGTGTCAACAACGAAAACTAATGAAAAAATGTAGGCATCCTAGATAAACTGGTGATGGTACATATCATTGATATCAGAAGAATCCTGTAACCTTTATTTAAAGCTAATTATGTTACCAATAAAGTTACCATCCAACTGGCCAATAATACAAAGTCAAACTTAGTCACATTTAGTGCTTGACAAGAGTTAATTTTGCACCCAGGATGTAGAAAATTCCCCCGACTGTGGAGAGAAGTCGCCGTCAGACTGAGTAGATATCTGAGCATTGGTACCAGATGGCTGTTCTGCTTTAAAAGAAACTGCTTTGGTAACGGTTAAAGAGACCGAGCTGATTCAGTCAGTGTGGCAGCGCTGTGGGTGAGGTCAGGGTTAGTTTTAATGTGCTGATGCAAAATTAATGACGTTATGTAACTTTAGAGGAGTTTTGTAATTAACAACACATGCTGCTAATTTAGAGGATCTCAAGGAGTAGTGGACCATGCTCTCTCTCTCTCTCTTTCTTTTCTTCACCTTCTCTCTGAAGTGAATGCATTTACAGCTTTGTTTTAAAGGGCAAAATCCCGATCTTGATTAGTTCATCTTCATATCTGATGACAGTGTACATGTGTTAGACATTGAGTGTCTGTGGGGCCTTCAGCTGCTGATCAATAACTTGAAAAACTCATTGGGTTTTTCCATTGAGCTCCCTTAAATGCTTAAAGCAATAGACATACAAACATTCTCTCAATCTCAGGGAGGATTTAAATTTTAAAGCGTATTTTTACGTGAAATATTTCTTCTGTTTTTGTAATCGAATTAAGCTAGTAAAATCTCTTCAATGCCATAAACAGGTGGAGGTGTTGCAAGAGGCAAGAATGATGATCCCAGACTGCCATCGCCGTTTAGCTATGGCCCACGCTGACCTACAACAACTGTTGGTGAGAATACACACACACAGTCACTTTTAGGGTTGTCCTTCCTAAAAGTCTTGAACTCAGTGGTGCTTTTAATATATTTAATCTTTTTGTTTGAGAATCCTGACCAACCTGAAACAACAACATTGCCACATGTGGATTTTAAAGCAGCATTTACATTACTTTTCATTTAAGCTACATTGTTTCAAGTGCATGCTGCTTTTTTCTGTTAAAGTAGCAGTCTCGGTTCATATTTGTGCCCTAATTTTTGGATGAAAACCAAAGAAAAACACTTACCTATATAGTCAAGTCACGTATATATATATTGCGCTTTTTACAATATAGATTGTTTCAAAGCAGCTTTACAGAGATAACAGGAAAATAATGCAAAAAAGTTTTTTCCCCAGAAGAAAATAGTTACAGTCCAGCATATATATATATATATACTGTATATATGTGTGTGTGTGTGTGTGTGTGTGTGTGTGTCAATGCAGGCAGATCAATGTTATCGTTGAATATTTAATGAAATGTTAAATGTAATGTCCCCAACTAAGCAAGCCAAGCCAATACCAACAAAGGTGGAAATAGATGACACTGGCAAGGAACCAAAACTCTATCAGGTGGCAGAATGGAGAAAAAAATATCCCAGGCTCAGTCAGTTCTCCTCTGGCCAATGAACAAACAGTGTATGATTATGATTCAGCCAGCATTACAGGTCAGAAGTCAGATTGGATTGGAACAATCAGAATAGTATCCCATTATATATACCATATGCCATTTTTAGACATTTTTCAGTGGCTAAAATGTGTCTTCATCCTGACCAAAAATGTATATGCATGTGTGACCCGTGTTGGCAAACAAAGTGGGAATGGCCATGGGCAAATTTCGAGCTAAAGCTAAAAAATATCAATTTTGGTCGATTTTGAGGTTTTCACAAAAACTAGTTCATTAAGCCCTCGTCTAGGGATCCACATAGATATCAAACATTAAAAGTATCTTTATTTGTGTGTTTTCTGAGTGGAGTACTTTTGGTTTGTCCATGAAAAATGCAGTTTTTCTCTGCTCGCTTCCCTCACTTCCCCTCAGCACAAGTTTGGTATCGTTATAAAGCACAGTATTCCAACTTTGTGAATATTAATAGCGAATCCTCGATGGCATCTGGAGTCTTAACCAATGAAATGTGATATTCAAACAAAACGATCTTACTCATGCTGACTGACGGATTCCCCCAATGACACTTTTCAGACAGCGTGAAATCCCGATATACACAGAACTACAGTATTTCAAAATATCTGTCTTGGCGAGTATTCACGCTAAAATAATCCCAATAAACGTTTGGTTAAATGTTGGGGAAAATCATCTGATGTGTAACATTATATTACATCCGTGCAGTCTGAATATATAGGCTGTCTGTTTATTAATGCTTAAATAAATAAATGTTTATCAAACAATTGTGATATCATGGGGGGAAAAGTTGAATATATATTTCTTCTAGATATTTGGTTTTGACTTGGTTTTGTGTGCCAAATGTGGTGTTATTACCAGGGATTTTAAGGGATGGTTGCTAGGTAATTTTGTTTTGGAACCTAACTGGATTTTTCTCTAAATTGACTTTGCTGACTCTTTAAACCGGTGTATCTCAGTTATTTTTATTTTTTTTTATGATTCCAATGAATCATACGTAATTGAAGGTTTTTTTTAACAACAAATCATTTGAAAATGTTCTCGATGCGACTCATTTTGCCAGCAGTTTGTCTTCTCGCATTGCTAGCCCTGAAAATGGTTAGCCATAAAAAGAAGTAATAACTATAATAATTAATATTGTCTAGAAAAGGTAATCATAGACGGAATAGTGTCAGAGCTGGAGGACAGTACATGTTGGGTGTTTGTATCAGCGCTAAGCACAGGGCATCGTGACATGGCAGGTTTATGTATGTGAGAAAGATATGTACAGGGGAAACCGTGCTATCCACTTCCTGTTTGTTGACACTTTGGGGAAATGGAGGGTTACAGGGATCACATTAATGAACAGAAAACAGGCAGATGAAATGGAAATCTGTGATAGCTAGCACAGGTGCATTTCAAAGAGCTCATTGAAACGGCATTGTATGTGCTTCAATAAAAATACTTTTCAAATGCTTTTTTGTGTCAGCGTAAAACTTTCTGTCAGGTGCACCAGCTCACTGTCGGCTTCGCACACACACACACACACACACGAGTCCTGTGCTGCACTCATTTCAGTTCATTAGTAATGTTGTCACGGCAATGGCCTCCATAGAAACCGTCGTCGATCGATTAGCATTGATATGACCTACTCCTCTCACTGCCTCCATTACATTTTCACACTGTGTTACGTGTGTGAGTGTGGTTGTGTGTGTGATTATCTGACAGGTTCACTGAGTGGATTAGCTGTATTTGGGGATGCAGTTAGTCTCTCTCATTGTGTTACTGTGATCTGATTTACTACTTAAACTCCCACTCTTTCAGCCTCTCTGTAGACTTGCATGTATTTCGTGTCATTTTAAGGCTGTTAAAAACTTTTTCCCCATTTCACAGACAAGCCTTAAGCCAGTCCTAGACTAAAATACATGTTTGATCTGTTTTAACTGAAAGCAAATTGCAATGATATATATTCTGGCTTAATCTCTAAACCCTCACTGTGAAACCAGGCCATAATACTTAATTATATATTTAATGACTAAAATTATGGAGTTCATCAAGAAATCAGGTTTGGTTCATGTTATTTTGATATGAATCATAATTTTATTATTTGAAAATATGTGTGTGACATGAGGTATAATTATGATCAGTTCATAGAGTGCTTTGAATTGTAGAGTTGTAAGATGCATCATTTGTGATAAACAAAATATGACTCCAATTTATGAAGAAACTCCAGATAGTGACTTTAAAACATGTTTGTCATCAGGAAACAGAAGAGGAACTGGCCGAAGCGGAAGAATTCAAGGAGGCCAGAACAGTTTTAGAGTCGGTCAAGCTGGAAGGATGATGGACCGTGAGGAACACTGACGTACACTGACATCCCAACTCTCCATTCCATTTCTTCTGAAGCAAGGCGATGTGTTTACTGGTTGATTATGTTTGCATTTCATTGATTTTTGTATTGATTCATAATTTAATAGCACCGTTTCCCCTAAGCCTTGTGTGATCAAATATACACTCATGAAATAAAGTTTCTTTTTATTATTTCAAACCATTCCGTATCTCCAGTCTATTACTGTTTTACCTTTAGATTATATCTTCACCTGCTGGGAAAGGAAAAATTGTGACGCGTCTTTGATTTCATTTAAGCCTTTCGCATTTTTCCTGCTGAAGGTGCGTGTTGTTTAAGACACTCAATAAGAATGCACTAACTAAGCTTAATTAATATGTAAAATGCAGGCCATGAGTTACCATATAAGATGCCATATGTTTCCCTTCTCATAGGGCTGCAGTAATTGATGCAGAATGTGAACCTGATGGACAGGCTTTTGCTTTCCTGCATGCAGAGGGAGACAGGTATAGCAGGAAAAAAATGAATGTATGATGAGAACATATTTCCAGCTCTCCTGAAAGGACACTGACCTCCGCTGGCCAGATTCTCTCATGCAAGCAGAGACTCTTGAGCTGCACGTGCTTTGACCTATTAGCTGGAGAAACATGGAGTGCATAAATATATTTTTGCGGTGGAACATAATTACATGATTTGAATTCTGGGTTTATTTTGTGTAGGCTATGAATATTTGATAATGGAGCGCCTGTTTCTGATTCTTTGGGAAAGATTGCATCACTCTTTTCCCTGTTTTAGATATTGCAGTTCTGCATTATCAGGATAAATCCTGAAAAAACACCTATCTGGACAGAACTGAGAGATAGCACAGGGGAAAACTCTTCATTCTATAGATATGTTCTTTATAATAACTTAATATTTCAATGATTTTATTTTTTACAGTGATCCCAAATACTATTTGAAACACTCTCAAGTCAAATTTAAAAATGTATGAATATCATTGCACTAGAAAACCAAATGTCAAACCAGGTGACTTTACTTTTAAGAAAGATAGCATAATCTCAATTTTAAAGCGAACTAATTCGGAATAAGAATTTATGTTTTCATAAAAGCAAAAACGTGGACACTGTGATTGTCAAAAGTTAGTGGAGCATCAGTTGACTGAACTAAAGATGATTGATCCACTAAAAAAATCAATGGATTTTTGGGGTGTGATTAAAATACTTTTTGGGATCATATACCTATATCTAAAATGAAAAGATAACTTTCTTTTGGCTGTTTGTTTAAAGAAAGCATATTAAGAACAATTAAGTTCCCTCTAGCGTTTTCCTTAAAGGAAAAACTTGAGTCATTCGAGATTTTGCAGTAACTTATGTAAATTCTCCAAAATACGTATCTTATATGCAATCTGAAAAAAAGCCTAGGCCTATAGCCTAAAAGGAATATCTATTTCTCCAGGCGTTTCCCTGTAAGTTTGCACTGTGGTGATTAATTTGTCCATTTTCAAGGGGTGTTTCCTCCCTGACATAAATAATTGAATGGGTTTAAATCTGGTTCATCCCAGAATAGCATTTCCTAAGTAGCCTATAGGCTACCTAATATAGCATAGTTCAGCCTAATTCGATGTGTTTTAAAATGTGTTTTAGGTTGTTGTTTTTTTTGAAAGACGAAGGAGCAGATGAATTCGGGTTCCATTTGGCTTGGTCTTCATTCTACAGATTTCGATAATTATCGGGTTCACCCCGAAGCCTCATTATAGCGCTAATGAGGCGCCGCCACTCCGTGACACCCAACCGCTCCATCTCGTTAAGGAAATCGCTCTTCAATGCTGATTATTTTATTTGGAGCCATAATTATATTTCTTTCGGATAAATCACGGTCTAATCGAGTCCGTTCGGAGGGCAGCGCCTCTAATTGGAGCATGAGATGCGGCGGCGGGCGCGCGCTACCTGAGTCTGCTCGCGCGACCGGAGGAACCGAGCACCTGATGGATGTGGGGGTTCTTCATCACCCCTCCTCCTCCTCCTCCAGCTAAAACACAACAACTTATTACCTTTAATCCCCCCGACTGTCACCGCATCACCTGCACGAAACAAGAATCTAATTTGTTAAACTGGCATTTCTGCAGATGGACGATCGATTTTCTCTTTAGAATTCTCTAATTGAGTGAATATAGACGCCCCGTGAATCACATTCCGGCGTGGAACTGCATGAGCGGAGAAAGAGGGCGTTATGCCGCATCTGTATAGCCTGGGTGTGGTGGAGCAGGTTTCGCCTGTTGTGTGGACCGAATGTGCCCGCAATGACAGACTTGAAATCGCTATGTAAACATTTCTAATAAAACATTTCTAATTTCTAACATTTCTACTAAAAAAAACCATCTAAAAATGCAGAGACATTTGTATGAGCTTAATGCCTATAACATGAGTCCCCAAGCAAACAAAAAAACAAACAGTATACAGGCTATTTGCGCGTCATTGGGGGTAAAATAGCTAAAATGTAGCCTACTCGTTATAGGCTATAACACCAAACCTCCTTTTGTGGACGCCCTCGAATGGAAAAGTGGTTTAAAAATATTTCCCCCAAAACTGCAAAATAATAATCTGTTGTTTTTACTGAAACTGTTTTTTATGTATGAATAAATCAGTATCTATATTATTGATATTATAATTTAATAATAGGCTAATTGGAGTCAGAGAGGTATGCGTCTGTCTTTTCTTTCTTTATTGGTGCATAAAAACTTTTCTTCACGCACCACTTAATTTTTAACGCGACAAGTTGACTGTGAATTGGGTGATTTTATATGTTATCATAAATAAAGTTGGCCTAAATCATTCATTTATTATAATTAATTAATTATTTGTTATAATATGCTTTAATATTTTTTTTTATTATAGCCTATGCTATTATACAATAGTTTCCTTATATGTGCAAATTGTCGATTTAATGATTATTAATCTGTAATTTTGTCCTCAAATTGACTAACGAGTTTATATCTTGGTGTAAGGAAAATGATGCGGGCTGTGGGAATGTGTAAATTTGTCAGTGTAGGCTAGGCTACCTTGTGGGACAGATGTGATGGTGGATATGAAGGCCATACGATGGTGACAGTCTAACAAAAGCCTCGTTGAAAATCACGCCACAATGAGGAGTGAGGGAGCAGAATCCTCTCAGCTCCAGACCGCGTTCAGAATTACATTTGTTTTTCTTGTGATTTTATTAAAAGTCACTCCTCATCTCCAGAGCGCGTGAAAATGTCTACTTTCCACTCAGATGCGCCGCATTAACTTGCAGGGCGCGAGTTTGTTTGTTTGTCTATTTTTATTTATATGCAGTGTAAGATTGATGCGAGCTTGTTAACGCTATCTTGTGGGAGAGAGAGATGCAACTCAGCTTTGCTTCTGAATCACCTCCCAAATTACCCCCCCCCCCCTCTCTCTCTCTCTCTCTCTCTCTCTCTCTCTCTCTCTCTCTCTCTCTCTTACACACACACACACACACACACACACACACACACACACACAGTATCATCCATGCATAACTTTTGTAATCCCTGTGCGCAATGGATTAATAAAGTATAATATATTATAAATTCATATATAAATATATATTATACAATTATCAATTATTATTATTATATATATATTTAACCGTTAAATGTGTCTGTTTTAACTTTACACTGATTTACACTGTTTTGTCAATTTATTGTAGCTACAATGTTACAATGTTAGTTTTTAATGCATCAAATCAGATTTGAAGGGAAACGTGCTCTTTAAGTTAAACCAACAATAATTTTTCAAGTAAATAACCTGAGTTCATTGAAATTAAAAATGTTAGTTAATACAATGAAAGACATTGTTTTTATCAACATAAACTGATTTGATTTGAAACTAAATTGATTTGATTTGACAAAATAAAAAATGTGATAGATCACGAACATATATATTTTTGTACAGTGTACAATTACTTTCAATTATAGGAGCTCTGTAATTTTTTATTAATGCAATTATTATTATTACTATTAGTGGTGGATTTATACGTCATACTTACATTATTTGTAGTGTTTTGTGTGCATACAAACCATAATAAACAATTTAAATGTATATTATTAGTGTACACATAGTAAATATAGTAATATAGATTTGTATTATATCAGTGTGCTCGTCTGCTAGCATGGCTTTTTGTTCGATAGGTTTTTATAGTGTTGATTCTTGAACTTTATTTGTACTCGCCACCTTTAGCTGTAGCTCAGAGGACCTATAGAGAATTTTTTTTTTCATTACCGGTGAGGTCAGGAAACAGTTGTGCATCCCCCTCAAATGCATTTAATAAAATGTTTTGCTTCGCTTCGCGTTTCACAAATAAAGCTTGAAATCCCCTTGCTGGCTGCAAGCCGGGTATTGGTGTACAGAAATTCAATCTGTACATTTTACGAGGTAAACAGACGGAATGAATTGCATTAGAGCAAGCCAATGTGTTTTCAGCCAGACAGTTTTCAGACCTTGCACTGTTTGTGTGCAACAATCTAAAACTTATTTATTAGGGGAAAAAACACTTGATCCGAGGCACAAAACCCCTCTTACAGCCGGATAAAGACAAAAGCAAGCAAGACGATATGGGAATTTTAATTGAGGGTCTCAGATTGCACACTGTAGCCTATATGTTTCTATGAAGTTCAGGCAGCCCTTCATTCACTCATAAGCATCGTTAGGCGTCTGTCGCACTTTTAGTCGGTTAAATATGACCGTGCTTCTCCAGAAGAGTGATTCACTTCTGTTTGTACAGCTATAAAAAGATCGAGCCATTGAAAAGTCGTAAAATGAAGCGCGCTATCAATCACGCGGCAACTGTGTTTCAGGCCAAACAATGTAATGATTTCAAATTATTGTTGAGGTAATGCATTTGTTTTTTTTTTTTCTAGATATGATACGAGAGGAAAAATACACGTGAGCAGCGATGACAAAAGTGTTAGTTCATGCATGCACATAATTTTAGATATCTTAAACATAGGCTACTCTTAAAAATAAAGGTTCCACTTAGAACCAGAAATAATCATTTGAATAATTTGATCGAAGTTTTTAATCTCAAAAACTACCATATATAAACAACTCAAGCTGGCACTTGAAAATAATGGTTCTTTGAATTGAACAATTGAGGAACCTTTATTTTTTAAAGGGTGTAGAATGAAGATTATTACAACTCCAACA